TTGTCTATCTTAGATATTGATTTTATTATTTTCCATTTCATCTTGCGTATATTTTGTAAGACTGTCATCTATATCCTGGCTAGAAATTTTGTGTTTATTCTACTCTTCTTACTACTGAGTTCATCTCTGTAATATTTTCCTGCATACTGCAAGTTCATTTTCTCTCTCTTTTTTTTTAAAAAAATATGTATCATGTCCTGTGGTTTCTTATATTAAGATGATTTTTATATCATGGAGAACTATTTTTAAATATTTATTTCTGAGTAGTTTAATATACACAGGCAATACTTTAAAATAGCTTTACCTTTAAATGCACTATACAGTCCTTGTGAAATGGTTTATATAAGAAATGGTTCATATAATATATTTGGTGTATATTAATACCTGGCAGAAACTATTGAAATTATAATATTCCTTTACTTATTGCAAAACTATCTTTGTGAGGTAACTGATTGATCTAATGCTAAATATATTTACCTAAGAACTTTGATTATGTCTTATCTATCCGTATATTTTAAATGACTAGCACAGTGATGTTCATGTAATATATTCTTGATTTTTTTTTTTAGTGCACACTGAAATGAATTTTGAATTCAAATCCTATTACTGCATAAGGCAGTGTGAGGCATCCATCATAAAGGCAACTCAACTTCCATGATAGAAAAGAAGACAATGTTTGGGTTAGGAATTGTATAAACTGCCTGTTGCAGAATGGTTAGGCTACAGTTATGAGGGCTTTTTCTATGTGTTGTTGGTGTATGTCCTCTGTTTGTTTACAGCTGCACATTTCCCAGCATTTTGGAGAAGCATGGATTTCTAGGGTTTATAGCTACCTACTGTGCCATCTACTTTCAGTAACTGTTGGTTTCCTAAATGAATTGGCAACTAGGTGTATCACAGTACTGTTTTGTTTTATTTTCTATGGTGTTAGAAATAGTTTTCTTTTGAGAGGAAAAGGAAAATCTTGTGTGTGAAGTAGTTTTTAACAACTCTTTAAGTACCATTACTCTTATAAAGGACAACATGTGGTCGGAATAATTTCATAGTGCTAAAATGTCACATTTTTAAGGCAGCTGTTTTATGGCTTTCCTGAATAACTGAGCCGAGTGATTCTCCCTGGAATTTAATAACTTGTGTCTCTAAATTCCTAGTAAAAAATAAATTGTCTTCCTCTTTGAATCAAGTTGCCATGGCAATTGGCATCCTTCATCTAGGGGACTCAAATACTACACTCTAGCCTTTAGCTTTTCAATACTTTCTGAGATGTGATATTGTTTTGAGCAGCTCAGATTTAAATAAAATTTAAGGTGTATTTTCTCATACTCATATCAGGGGTATTAATTAGGCAGCATGTATATTTTTTCAGATAATCCATTATTTAAGTATAATGATATTCTTTATGTTAACTTCAAGACTATGTCTTGATTAACTATGGAAATTTAGGTGTTAGAGGAAATTTCAAAGTCATTTTAAATATGTTGATTGCAATAATTATATTGAACTCTAAAGTGAAAGTCTCCAATTTTATAGAGAATATATCTATTTTGTAATTTATGAGAATGTATCACCATGATAGAATCTGCTACATATTTCACATAAAGATTACATCTTTGACCTTAGTGTCACTGAACTCTTATTATAGTACTAGCAATAGGGAAAAATTACAATTCTTAATTAAATTCATTGAAATTTTCTTTTTTTCTTTTAAAGTCATTTTATTTTATTAATTTTTTTAGAATTTATTTTTTTATTTCTTTTTTAATTGTTCAAATACATTTGCCTCCATTTACCTGCCACCACTTTCCCCAGCCCCACCCACCCCCTCCTCTCCCCCCAGTCTTTCTCCACCTAGTCTTCATCCCTGTGCCCTTCACACTTGTTCCTTGATCTGACCCTTCCCCTTCCCCTCCCCACTACCCCCTCCCTTCCTCCCTCCCTTCCCTGTTGGTTTGAAATTTCCTTTAAAACTACATTTTTATATGATTCATTGGAAAAGCCAATGAATCTCTATTATTTGTTATTCAGACTTGATAATTTCTGACAGGTTTTTAAGTTTTTTTTTTTTAAGTTTTCATGTTTGCAATGTGATTAGCTAGAATACCAGAATGGAATAGGAGAGGTTTGTTATCCAGATAGATAAATCTCTAGATTAGTTTGCCTTATTCAGTGCTGCTTAAGTTGAGTCTCTTTTGATTGCAAGTTAGAAAAACTTATTTCTCAGGATTTTTTTGGTTGACAATTACCCAACTAAAGGCATTTTCTCAATAAAAGAGAATTAATAACTTATCTAAGTGAATACACCCAAGAGTAGGTCACATTTGCATGTTCTTGATCAAGGATCTGGCCTGTTCTTGGCAGTGATTTTGGTTATGTTCTCATCTGTGTTTATGGTCTCTTTAAGCAGGCGTTCCTTATGTCACAAAATGGTGACAAGTGGTTCCAAGTCTCACATTTCCACATCTCAGCAATCTCAATAGGGAAATTATCTTCTTTAAAATTCTAGATGTCTCACTAATTGGTCTTTTTTATCATGGTTGTGCTCATGATACCCACCAGCCCTTGTGGACATTGTAATAAGGGAACTCAAGAGTTAAAGATATTAGCCTTAGTTACAGTTGCTAGGCTTAAATGATTAATGCATAGGGAAAGCTGATATTCCAGGAACTGGAATGCATAATCTGTCACTCCAGGAGGTTGACAAGCAATTCAACCTTTGTGCCCTAGGGGTCTGCAGGTGATGGTATTTGAGACATTGCATTCCAGGGAGGGAACCTCTGGGATGTGGATAAAGACTTGCTGATCATCAGCTAAAGAAGTACTCAAAAACTTCCAAGGACTGCAACTCTTATTCAATTAATCCTGTTTCCAAACCCCTTTCCTACGCTTTTATCCATATAAAAAGGTGTGCTTGAGATGAGAGGTTAAGATGGTTTTTAGGGTACGTAACACACCATCTTCTCTGATCTCTGGCATCTAAATAAAGCACCCATCAAGATTCAATCCCTGTTTTTACTAACTGGTTCTGGTAGTGACAGGCAGCATGAATGTCAACTTTTTTGGTTTCTGTTGGAGTGACACATGCAGAATGGTTGTACCCAATATAAAGGAGGGTGTCCACCTCAGAAGTTTCCAGTGGTGAAATACCAGGCAACAGGGAGGATTTGAACACCAGTTAGAGACATAACCACAATGCTTATTACTGTCCCAGAACTCACACAATCAGTTTCCTAATCTTCTGGAAGGGAGTGCTGGAAACCCTAAGATATCAAATCTCTCTTGGACTACCTAGAATTTTATTCCTACTTTTTCCTTTGTATTTCTTTTTCTTTTCCCCTTTCTCTGCAGAATTTTCTTATCTTTCATCATGGGTGTACACATAATTTGTATGTGATACCCAGAGAGTAATTGGAGGTTTACTTAGGAACTTTAGTATTTTTTTAATCCTACTGTTAACGTGTAATTATTGTTCTCAATATTTGCAGTTAGGGCCATATTTTTTTTTTAGTCATTCAGCAAAATGTATTTAGAATATTCCTGTCTTTTATGTGGTCTCTCTCTCTCTCTCTCTCTCTCTGAATCCATATATACACACACATATATGTAATCTCCTGATGACTCTTGAATAGGTACCTGGGTTCTTGCTTTACAGGATTTCAAGAATAATTGTACTTTATTTAATTAGCACAACTAATAAGTACATTAGACAAAATTCACATCCAAAACATTATTATTCAAATCATAGACACTCTATTCAATAACGGTTATTCTTACATATATCTGAATATTTTTAAATATATTCAAATATAAAAAAATTAATTGAAATTTGAACTGGCCAAAAATCATGTGATTTTTCTGGGTGTACCTCAGCAAAATTGCCTTTAGAAACATTTCAATCTCTTCAATGTGTGAGAAACCTGAAAAATAGAGGTTCTGTTACAGGCACTGTGGCAATATCAATAATAAGAATTAAATAAGAGGAGAATTTAGTGACCCAAATTATAGAGAAAAAATATATTATTTCCATTTCTAGGACAATTAACTGAAAGGAGGCCTTAATAGAACTCTAGTGTTAAAAAAGGGAAGTTTGAATTTGTTGTCACTCACCAGTAATCACAGTTCAGCTTTTCAATAAAAAGTTCCAAAAATGACATTTTCTTTGGTCAGCAATTAGAGGGATCCCTAACATTATTGTAGCAGAAAGACTATTGTACACAGAGTATACCTTTTCCTGTAAGTTTTCTTTATTTAGCAATTTCTTTTAATGAGATTTATTCATTTTAAATATATTTTAAGTCTTAACTCACATTCCTTAGAGGTTACTTAACTCTTTTGGCTATTTTGAAGAATACTAACATTTCTAATTTTATAGTATCATTTTCTGTTTGTATTTTAGGAACTTTAGAGACAGTGTCTCTGTTCCTTTCTTTTCTTTTGAAAACTGACTTTTTAATTTCTCTTTAAGGGAATCCTGTCTATAACTCTGAAAGTTACATATGTTAAATATATAGTGATTTAAATGCTGCTTTTTTGCAGCTTTACTGAGATATAATTGACATGTAACATTGTGTACAACATGTTGATTTAGTACACTAATATATTGCAAAGTGATTACCACTATAGTATCAACTAATACTGTCATCATATTACCTAATTACCAGTTCTTTGTTGTGGGGAAAACATTTAAAATCTACTCTCTTAGCAACTTTCAAGTATATAATATAGTGTTAACTATAGTCACCATGCTGTAGGGAAGATCCCCAGAACTTACCCATTTTATAACTGGAAGTTTGTATTCTTTGACCAACATTTCCCCATTTCTCCAAAACCCCAGGGCCTAGTAACCACTGTTCTGCTCTCTATTTCTATGAATTCAGCTTTTTTAGATTCCATCTATAAAAACATGCAGTACTTATATTTCTCTGACTCATTTTACTTAGTATAATGCCCTCAAGGTCTATCTCTGCTTTGTTCTTGATAAGCATTATTCTTTATTATTATAGGAGGACACAGATCACAATTACTATATATCTCGGATATATGGTCCGTCTGATTCCGCCAGCCGGGATTTGTGGGTGAACATAGACCAAATGGAAAAGGACAAAGTGAAGATTCATGGAATACTCTCCAATACTCATCGGCAAGCTGCAGTAAGTGCTTTGACATTTTGAATTTATTCTTATCTGCTTGAAAAAAATTTACTTTACTTGGCATATCAACATTTTTTGGTTATGATCACTTTTCAAGTGTATTTATTTCTATAATTGCAAGTTAAATTAATAATTGCATATATTATAGAAAGTGAAAAAGAATTATTTTGAGAAGCTACCATTAATTTAGCTATTAATTAATTAAATTAACAATTTCCCTGGTGAGAGGATGAGTTGTATATTCAACATTAAGATAGATCATGGATGATTTTCAGTTTTCTTGTAATCTATGAGTTTAAAGAACATTTTTTTAAAAATTATATTAATCTGGTATTTTCCATCTTACATAGTTTTCTTATTCTGAATCTGAGAAAGATTTAGCCAGAAACATTATGACTCAGATATCCCATGTAGACCAAGTTATGGTTCTAAGTTGAATAGTTTGATGTAAAGGAAAAAAAAATAAACCCAGAAGTCTGCAAATATATTTTAAGCCTGAGTTCATCATTTACCAGCCGTGATTTCTTAAACAAATAATGTAACTATTCTGAGGCAGTTTCCAGATCTGTATGGTGGGCATGACAGGGGAATTAATATAGGCCTCACCATACATGGTCATTGATAGCCTATTCAACCTGTTAGGCTGCATGTTTACACAGATTAGCGTTTCAATCTTTACAACAATCTTACGACTTCAATATTTTACCATCCAGGTATTGAGGATAAGAGAATTGAATCTTTGAAAAATAAGTAACCTACCTAAGTGATTCTAGCTAGTAAGTGATGAAAATTGGATGCTAACCTAGGCAGTCAAGCCCACACTCAAAATATGTGTGCATGTAAAATCTATCATATGTGGTTCACAATAGTTTTTTTAAATGTATTTATTTATTTTTACAGAGAGGGGAAGGGAGGAAGAAAGGAGAGAAATAATGATTGGTTGCCTCTTGCAAGCCCCCTACCAGGGGCCTGACCCACAACCCAGGCATGTGCCTTCATTGGGAATTGAACTGGTGACCTTTCGGTTTGCAGAACAGTGTCCAATCCACTGAGTCACACCAGTCAGGGTTCTTCTCAACAGTTTTTGGTAGTCACTGTCAGAAAAGTGCCCAATTTAACATTTAAGAAATTACTTAGTTCTTCTATCAAGGACAGTAATAGTGACCTTACCATTGATGAAGTATTGTTCAGTTTAGTATGACTTAAAGTGAAAACAAAACTTTAACCTTTCAAGTGTTATACCATTAATGATATAAAGACTCAGTGGTTTAAGTGACTCAAAAAGACACACATTTAATAAGTGTAAAATACCAAAATTTTTGGTCACAGCCATCATATATAAGTAGACTTTCCTATTTCAGAAGGTCAACTTCTAACAGTTAAAATGGAAATTAGTTATAATCCATCATGGTGATTTATTCAATTTTCAATGTTAAGCACATGTTTTCTGAGGCAGAGAAGCAAAGAAAGTAGCCACCTCTCCTTGCTGAATTTCATCATCCTTAGTTTCCATTCCCAAGCAACCCCAGGTGAGATGATAGATTCAGAAATGATTCACTGCTGAGTTTAGAACATATCTTCAAAAGAAGTGAAAATGAGAAAGATTTCATTAGGATAATGTCTATTACAAAGTTATTGCATTTGAAAATCCTCCCACTATATTACAGTGCCTATTAGTGTAAAATATACTTTGTAACAGTTTGAACTTTGGTGTATCCAATTGTAGAATCTGAAAAGTGATGACGTTCTGGTGTTGGCCACTATGGGTGACATCTCTAGGCAGAAAAAGGCCATTAGTTAAAATGTTAGCTGATTTCTTCTTACATACATAGCACCATTATCACTTTCTCCTGTGTTCTCCAAAAGGTGAGATAGTTGGTGTGTCCCTTGAAGAAGATTCTTTTTCCTTTGGAGTAGAGTTTGCTTGGGTGCCTTGTGACCTCAAGTCTCTGGTAGTTTTGAGAAGAATTAGGATACTATAATTCCTTTTTTCTTACTGTTAGTGTGGTAATCACACTGCTGCTTTCAACACCAGAGATTGGCCTTAATCCAAATGGGAAAACTTGGGCTTGTGCTTGTAATTCACCAGGTGCTCCATGCATTGATCTTTTAAATAATTGGTAAAAACTTTATGTTAGCTGCTCTGTTATCATCATAGATTGGTGTCTTTTTTCCATGAGAATTTAAGCCATTATGGAACATTTCTTAGAGTTAAAAATTGGTCCATTTTCCCTATCACCGTCAACACAATACACATACATGTCCAGTCACACATCCATTTATACCGATGGAATTGATAATGTAGGGGAGTAAAAATAAATTTTCTTCTACCCTTCTGAGTTCTTCTGGCTGGACAATAATCAAATTAACATGAGGCAAATTGATAGGAGAAAATTACCAGATTTACTACGTGTGTATAAACAGGGGTTTCAAAAGAATATGAGAGCCCAGGACAGATCAGGCAGTTTTATGGCTTATATTCCCTCTTGAGCTAAGAAGAAAGGGGGATGGAGGTTTGCAGTCTGCACTTCAAAGAATGAGAAAATAAATCACATGGACATGGAAAGCAAATGTTTATTACACAAGTGCTTGCTGGGCCATAATTAACAATGGCGCATAGTTAATGTATTGATGTATTGTTTAAATAGCCAAGATATGGAAGCAACCTTAGTGTGCATTAATAGACAAATGGATAAAAAAAGCTGTGGTACTGCACACAATGGAGTATTACTTGGCCATGAAAAAGAATGAAATCTTACATTTGCAACAACATGGATGAACCTAGAGGGTATTATGCTAAGTAAAATAATTCAGATAAAGATACCTGATGATTTTACATTTATGTAGAATTTAAAAAACAAAATAAACAAATATAAAAGGAAACTAAGTAATATTATTGAAGGGAAGCAGAGTATACCACCACAAAATATGCCTTTATAAGTATTGGACATGGTGAGGATTTTGATCAAAAGATTCTTGCTAGGTTCCTCCCTATCATACTTAGTTTGTATTATCTAAGATAATAGCTCTCTTCCTGAAGCAAGTTTTCTATCTAAATTCCTTTAGGCAGGTGAAGGGGTCAAAAATTGTTTCCTGAGTCTTTTCTTTCTTGAAAATTACCAGATTTTAAAGCAATCAGTATTCAGATATCCAGAAGTGAGATTTCTGGGTCATATGGTAGTTCTGACACCAAAAAAGTCAGTGTTCTTGCTGCCTGTCACTACCAGAACCAATACAGAGAGACAAGGATTGACTATTCATGGGTGTTTTATTCAGATGCTGGCAATCTGAGAAGATGGTAGATTATGTACTGTAAAAACCACATTAACCCCTCATCTCAAGCTAACCTTTTCATAAGAAGAAAAAGGTAGGTAAAGGGTTTAGAAAAAAGGTTAATCAGATAAGGGTTACAGTCCTTGGTAACTTTCCTGTTACTTCATCTGCTGATCAACAATTCTTTATCTGCACCTCAGACATTCCCTCCCTGGAACACAAAGGCTCAGATGCCATCTCCATTGCTTGCAGATGCCCTAGGGCACGAAGGTTGAATTGCTTGTCTCAACCTCCTGGAGTCATAAGTTATGTGTTCCAGTTCCTGGAATCATTTAAGCCAAGCAAGTATAATGAAGGCTAAAATCTTTAATTCTTGAGTTCCCTCATCAGTTCTATTTTTTGAGGAACATTCATACTGTTTTCCACTGTGGCTGCACCAATTTGTAATCCCACCAACAGTGTACAAGGGTTTTCTTTTCTCCAATGAAAGAATTTTCCACTTGAACTCCATTTAAGTAAGTTTTCTATCTTGAAACTTATAAATTGAGTTAATGGAACATTAAAAAAAAATTTCTAGAAACATTCCTTATTTCAAAAATGTGATTGTTAAAAATTACTATGAGATTTCCAAATTGGAGAGAATGATGCATGTTTTAACATTTCCTCAGCTGGCCTCCCTACATTTCCAATACTGCCTGCTCTTTTTTCCATTTCTTCAGAGTAGAATTAGATTGTTAGAAATGAGCACAGAATTGTAATGTTACAGTACCAGGTCCTCAATAATGTCCACATAGTCCCTACTTCCAGCCTCCACAGAATACACACAATACATGCACCGAACTATTACCAAACAGCAAGTGGGTCCTGCTGCCTGCACCACCCTCTAGGCAAAATTCCAGAGACAAAGGTTTGGTGATAAAGGAAAGGAATCTTTATTCAAAAGCTACACAATTTTGGAGTAACTGCTTTCCACATGCATTAGTCACTTAAACCTATTAATTAAGGCTAAACTCTTTAACACCTGAGTTCTATCATTCCCCCTGTTAGTTTTTAATTATCTTATTTTTATAGGGTTAGTATACAAACAAAAGCAACATAAGATACAAAAGCAACACAATTTTGGAAGAATGGCAGTCTTCTGCCTCAGAGCTCGTCCCCTCTAGAACACCCAAAAAAGAATAACCCTGCCACCCTCTGCCAGGCCAGCCTGATCCTACACTGCATCTGGGGTTTCTTCCCATCCAAAATCCATCCAGAATACCATCCTCTCAGAAATGCAGGCAGCTGCAGCATTAATCATCCAGGCATCCTCAAGGAAGAAGAGCCCCAATGCCAATCTCTGCCATCTTTTTATTTTAAATCTTCTGGCCCATAATTCCATGTTCTCTGAAGGCATTCAGCTTCTGAGCCACTCCCATCCCAGACTGTTCACTGTTGCCTCAGGCCCTTCCTACTCCTCCCAGTGGTCTGATCAGATCTCTCTGTGTCCAAACCACAGCTCTGGTACCCATGATGCTACTGAGAGGTTTTAGCACAAGGCAAAATGGCAGTTGGGAAAGAAAGTATCTACTTTATTCATTTGATTTGCTGATATCAAAGTTATCATAATTCTTGATTCAGAGCTCTAAGGGAAAAGGAAACTTTCTATAATATTATCACTGAATGTTATTATTTGTATGCCTAAGAGCATGTATTTTGTCAAAAGGTTAGACAAAAAGGAGAGGGAG